GCATTCTTAAGGCATGGAGGAGACCCTGACTCTTTCAGGCAGCCAGGGGCTCAAAGGGTTTTAAGAATCACTGGTTGGTGACGTTTAAATATAACGTGTTGAGTCACACACACACCACTAACAGGGGCCACTGTCTGGCGCAGTGCTGGGCTCTGGTAACACAAAGATGAATTGGGCGGCCCTGCTTCTAAGGCCTCCCTGAGGAATTTGCACAATGTACGTGTAACAGGCATGCACAAACACTAGAAGCAGAAGCTGCTCTATTCCTTAGCCAGCCCCAGGTACTGTCAACTCCACCGTCTTGAACAGCTGGAGAATCTGCCTCTGCAGCCGCTCACTGGTGTGGGCCACCACCATCTCTCACCTGTGTCACTGGCACCAACAGTGTCCCGAGCTCCTAGCCTACACCTCTGACTCTTTCTCTACACCACAACCAAAGGGACAATGTGACCCAGTTTAGTCCTCCAAAGGTTCCTCTCTGTCCTTATGACAAAATCCAAACCCATGAGAGACTCTTGAATGCTGAGAACAAACTGAGGACTCATGGGTGTGGGGGGGAGGGGGGAGATGGGCATGGAGGAGGGTACTTGTGGGGATGAGCACTGGGTGTTATATGGAAACCAACTTGACAATAAACTATTGAAAAAAAAAAATCCAAACCCCTGAGCAGGGGCCAGTCCTCATGGGCAGGTTCTAGGTCATATCCACTGCTGGGTTCTAGTGCAAGGCCAGGCCATGGTTCGTCATTCAACCAATGTTTGTTCAATGAATAAATGAGGCTGGGCCAGGATGTTTTCATGCTACAGGGAAGCCTTGTGACATCATAATGCAGGCTCTCTGCCCAGGAAGTATTCTTGGTTTTTTTGAAGAATCATTATTGGTTAATTCAACAGTTTTTATATGATGAGCTAAATCTTTTTGCAAATGCCATGTAAACACGACGATACATAAGTGGATATGACTAATACCAAATTGCTAAGTGTTAATCTGGTCCACAGCCTAAGTCCAGCTGTATTTGGGTGATGTGGGCAGGCATGAGAAGTGTAGTTCAAAGTGTGCTTTTGCCTTACTCTGTGACCTTGGGAAGGTGTCTGGACCACTTTAAGCGGCACCTAAAAATGACCCTGCTTGGCTGGCCTCATGAGGTCACTGGGAAGACCCAGTGAGCACTGGCCAAAGAGGGGCCATCCAAACGTACAGTGCCGTGTGTATGTAAGGGATCATGACAATGACCGGAGAAGGTAGCTCCCCACTGGGTGGAGCCCCCAGCACACTCCTCTCCTGCAAGTGGCTGGGGGTCGGGGGGTACACTGGGGTTATCTTTGCTGTTCGTATTTCTTCCCAAAGGAGGTCTGAGATGTGGATGTGCAAACCCTCTGTCCAGATTATCTGCCTGAAGTCATCCATCCCCATTAACAGAAGCAGGAAGATCACTTGCCAGATGTTTTAGGAGTCCTTACAGAGGGAGGGAGGTTGGACTTGATCTCTGAGGTCCTATCCAGGGATTCTTTGAGATTCTCTAACCCCACATCCTTTCCCTTGGCAGAAGTCAGTTTTAAACAATGGCATAGGCTCTAGCAGAATTGGGCAATTTCTAGAAAATCAGTTTCTGGAAACTCCCGGGAAGCCAGGCCTTCAGGCAGAGTACTTTTCCTTCCCAAAAATAAAAACGCAAAAGAAAAATAGAACTGTAAATTCAGGTAAGAGGCGAATAACGTCAACGCCCATGGGTGTCACACGACCTTCTCTCCCAGCTGGTCTTCCAGATGCAGGAAGTTGTACACACCCAAGGAAGGTGCAGTGTGGTACTCGCCTGGGGCCCGGAAGTGTGTGCTTTGCCCACTGCCAGCATGTGGATATTTTTTTACTGCCTCTCTAGGAGTTTGCTTGAGCCCAGGACATGGGGATCAACCTTTCGTCATTTGGTCCTTGCTTGGTGAGTTCAGGCCTGTACTGAATCATTCATTCACCCATCCGCCATCCACTCAACATGAGACCACATTCAGCGCCAGGCAGTGTGCCAATTGCTCAGAAAGAGAAAGTAATGAGACTCAGTCCTTGTTCTCAAGTACATAACTCATGCGGGGAAACCATCAAGTAAACGTAGTCATGATCTAACATCTTAAGATAGGGGTTCATAGAATATTATGAGATTGCACTGAATATTATGGGAATTCTATAAGACGGGCTCTCAGCTGGGCTTGGGGGTTTGGAGGTTCATGAACATGAACATGAGTTAGCAGTGTATGCTAGGTAAAGCGGAAGTACAGGAACAGGGGAGGGCATGGGCATTTCAAAGGGAACAGAATGAGCAAACGCCTGCAGGTGACTGGGGTGTGGCCAAAGCCTGCGATTTCACATCCTGGGTAGAAAAGTGTAAAACCAGGATTGCTGGGCAAGAAGGCGGCACAGGGACCAATCAAGGGAGGGCCAGGGTCCAGAGAGAATGAAGGAAAGAGGGATGATATTGACACACTAGCTCGGTGAACATTCAAGCACCTGTAGGGGGGCCAGCCTCGTGCTTTGTGCCGGCTCCGGTTCCTATTCCATGTTGAAAACCACCCCAAATTCTCTGCCCCTTGGTACAAAGAATTTCTCTGCACCGACATCTAGTACACAGTTGGTGCTCAATCAATGGCGATCATGGCCCCTCCCTGCCAGGGAGTTGTTACTGCCTACACAGCGTTCCTCAACTATGTGGCATTCCATTCACATCTTCGTATGGTGAAAAATGGCCCATCCCTGCAGCTAACATCCCCACCTCATTGTTTAAAGCCTTCTGTTCCCTGAGACCCACCTCTGGATGGAGAGGAAAGCTGATTCTCTGGGCTCTTTGCTTTGTAAAGAAAATATTTTCAGCTTATCTCTCCCCTCTGTAGCAATTACGGAAAATAAATTGAAGTGTAAAAACGAGAGATGGCTAGCAGATGGGGCCAAATTAAGTGATGCCTGGCTATTAGCACCCAGCGCTGCAGGACCCAGAAGCCGACCTTGCTCCCTGGAGTGTGAAATGAACATAGGCTTTCAAACCAGGTCAGGGAGAAGGCAGCTGCCAGGTGCCTGTGTACCCCCATTGGCACCATGGGCCTCCACTGGGCTTCCAGACCCGCGGATGAGGAGGGCTGGGACAGGCGGGGGACTCTTGGAAAGGGTCTTGTGAGGTTAACAAAGAAATTGTTGGTTTTCTCCCTGATTATTAAAAATATGTGCTCCTGGTGAGAAAGTTGGCAAACAGAACAAGAAAGAAAAAGCAATCTAGAGCTTCCCACCTTGACATTATGGTCCTGTGTATCCTCTGGTTAAACTTCCTCACTGTATGGCCAGCTCATCCGGCCTTGACGTTGGGTCCCCAATAGGGCCCTGGCCCCTGAAGAGGGTAGCACCCAGGAAGCCACTGGGGCCTGTGCCCACTGGCCCTGCCCAAGTTGCTTGCCCCAGTCGTGGCTCCCCTCAGCCTTCCAGTCCAGCTCCAAGGTCAGCCTGGTCCAGAGATCTCTCCAGACCCCTTCCTTATCCCAGCGACTTCTCCAGTGGATTATCTCCCTTCTGGAAGTCACTTCCATCTGTATTATTGTTTCTTGGTTGTTGGCTGTCTCCTCCACTGCCCCTCCCCCCAGCCCCACTCAGGAGTCTGAGTCTAAGGTAGATTCACTCACCAGGGTCTGTACCAGTGGGGGCTGCATAGTTATTTGTTAATTAAGAAGGAGCCCAACCATCTGGGTTCCTAGTAGTTCAGTAGCATGAACTTGGCAATGATGAACACAACCTACATTTTAATGCTCAGAGAGCCCTGCCCATTCCCCCCCCCTTATATATAAGCCATTCTCTATCTCTGGGCGTGTGTGTGCGCATGCGCGTGCGCTCACACCCATATGCCTTCCATAGCGCTCAGGAGGGGGTCAAAGTACTGAGCTAGGGGCTTGGACCTCACGCCCCTAGCTCATTCTGCAGCCGTGGGTCAATTCCAAGACTCCAGGACCTCACTTTTTCCGTGTTTGTGACACCAGTTAGGAGCTTTGCCTGAAAGTAGGAGTTGTGAGCCCCAAGCAAGATAAGATCCTGGAACTCTTCAAAAGTTAAAAGAAATAGTAAGAAACACTCCCCCACCTCCACCCGGAAGGCCCTTACTCATTTTCAGTAAAGCCCCAGAGAGGGTGACCCTGGCCTGCACGCGGTGGTGGGGGGTTGCCTCTTCCTTCCCAGAATCTGGGGTCAGCTCTGGCCAGGATCCGCAGGGAAAAGGTTTCTTTCCAATATCCAAACCCAAGAAAGAAGTCTTTCTCGCTGCGGCTCCCCAATCTGGAGGCAGATGAGAGATTCCCCCTAACTCCGTCTCAGTATGCGTTCGCCCCCTACCCAGGTTCTCCCACGTGGCCCCCGGGGGCGCAGGGCCTCGAGGGGGCCCTCCCCTTCGCAGGGGTGGCCACTCGGAATGGTGCGGAAGCCGGGGGGACCTCAGGTGGAGGAGTGACTCTGCCAGGTCGTACCCGGGACAGGGGTGCACCGAAGGGCCGCGAGCCGGGTGGGAGGGGACGGCCCCTTCCCGGGACCGGGCGCTGGGACCCGCGTGCTCACCGCCCCCCCCCCCGCCCCGCACCCTCTGACGTCGCCCCGCCCCCCGCCCCCTGAGACATCACAATCTAGGGGCCGGGACCCCGTGCCTCATCATCGCCCGTTTGCGACCAAACAATCCGACCAACAAACACCCTCCGGGGGGGGGAGTGAAAAAAAAAAAGAAACCGGCAGGAGCGCAGCCTCCCTCCCCCGCCCCGCCCCTCGCCCCCCGGGGCCCCCGCCCCCGGATGGGGGAGTGAGCGCCAGCCGGGCGCCCCGCACCCGCCGCCCCGCGCGCCCGCCCGCTGCCCGCCCGCGGCGGGGGCGGCCCGACCGCGCGCCCGCCCCGCCCGCCGCCGCCCGCCGCCCGCCGCCGCCGCTCCGGCTCCGCGGCGCCCTCGGCCGCCAGCCTCTCCGCCCGCCGCCCGCCGCCCGCCGCCCGCGCCCGGCCCCGGCGCCCCGGCCCGCCGCCCGCGCTTCATGGCTGCGCACGAATGGGACTGGTTCCAACGAGAGGAGCTCATCGGGCAGATCAGCGACATCCGCGTCCAGAACCTGCAAGGTAAGGCGCCCCGGCTCCCCCCGCCCCCCACCCCCTCGGGGAGCGACGCCCGGTCGGGTGGCCCCTCGCCCGGTCTGACCCGGCTCGCTCGGGGAGGGGGCCCAGACAGCCGCCCCCCAGCCCCCGCGGGGCCGCCCCGGCCAGATTTGCTGTCGCCCAGGGGGTGGGGCGGCACACGTGCGTGTGTGTGTGTGTACGTGTGCGTGTGTATGTGTTGGGGGTCCCGTTTTCTTTGGGGGGACGTCACGGCTCCCCTGCAGCCACTGCTGCGAGTTTGGCCAAGTTTGAACGTGTGGGCTCTTGGGGGCGGTGGCCCGGGTCAGGGAGGGAGGAGAAAGTGCGACTATGTGTGTGCGTGTGTGCATGTGTGTGAGCTCGCACACCTCCTAAGTACCTCGGAGGCTAGGGGACCGGACGGTGGGGGGCGGTGCTTGAGGGGGAGGGCCGGGAGCCCGGGGCCAAGGGCGCGGGTCGGCGGGCCACTTTCCGCAGGGAGCGGCCCCTCCCGTGGCCCGGGGCTCGACTTGGGAATGGGCGACGGCCCCGCCCTCCAGGCGCGCGACGCTGGGACCCGCGGCTATCTTGTCACAGGGTGAAAGAGAAACTTGAAAGGCCATTGAGTCCCAAGGGCCATCGTGAAGTGTAGGGAGTTTATTCATTGTGAAACTTCAAAAGCACGACAATATTTAAAGGGAAAAAGTCACCCAGGGTCGCCCAGTAACCCACTCACGCACCCACCCACCCAAAGAAAGCTGCTTTCCCTGGAGGTGTCTTTCTAGCCTCTCTCTTTTCCAACGCGGGCTTTGCAGAACTAGACAGAGTTCCACTTCCGGCCTCTCTTCAGACACAGAGACCTGGCTGGGCCGGCCAAGTTTCTTTAGCAGTTTCCTGGGCTGACCTGGGTTTCTAGACAGTCCTAGGTTGGGGGCGCTGCAGAGAGAGCTGGGAGACCTGGACAGAGAGATGATGGGTCTGTGTGGGTGTCTCCCCCCCCCCCCCCCAGCAGGTGCCTGCCTTTAGTGCTGGGAGGGGGTAGGGAGCCCCAGCAGACAGGGTGCATCTGGGGGTGGCCAGGCAGTCAGTTGAGTTTAAACATTACACCTGATGGAATGTTCTCTGGGAGTCCATGTAGACTTGCTCCACCCCTAGGCTGTGCAAGGACAGTGCAAGCAAAGGTGACCTGAAATAGGATGGGAGGGGGGAGCCTGGTGCAGCAGACGCTAGACCCTGAGTTTGCTCTGGGTTCCTCTGAGCTCTTCTGGCTGTGATTTGTATGAAAGGAGGAGGGTCAGACTGGATCCCTTTTGATAGTAAGCCTCACATCTGGATCCTGTTGCCCCAGAACTGACATCGTATTTGGGCGTGGGGATTAGTATCTTTTGCTAAGATGGCATGTGGTTTGGGCTGTCGTGGTGTGTTTGTGCGCGTGTATGCGTGCATGTGTTGTAAGCAGTCAGTGGGTGTTCGATACACACCTGCTAACCAGGTGCAACAGCTTCCCGCCTTGCTGTAAGATCAGCTCCCAGCGTAAAGGAGATGTTAAACAAACATTAAGAAAACTTTAGAACGTCATGTAAAATGGAAGAGTACAATACATACTCTTGAACTGGCCCTTTTTACTCCACGAGATGTTGGTGTAATTCATCCACGTCTTTGCCTATATTTTTAAAGTTTTTACAGACTATTGTTATAATTCACATACCATAAAATTCACCTGTTTTAAGTTTACCATTCAGTAATTTTTCGTTAAGTCTACGGAGTTGGGCATCCCAACCATCCAGTTTCGGAACATCTTCATGACAGGGAGCAGAAGCTCCCTGGCTGCTGGCGTGTGTGTCGCTCAGCTCCCAGCCCTGGACCCAGGCAACACGCAGTTCCCGGTCACTGACTGGTCTGTCGCCTGGGGCTCCCCACTTTGTTGGTCTGCTCGCCGCTGAGGGACATTTGGGTTGTCTGCGGTTTGGGGCTCTTGGGAGGCTTGGGGGATGCTTGTGCTGTGCGGGCGCTGGCCCCCGGCTTCGCTGCTGTGGGAGAGGAGGTGGGGGCCAGAGTCCATCTTCTCTGTCCAGTCTTCCCTTGGCTTCCCTGTCTTTTGACTGGATGCTTAGATATTTTCTCTCCTTGTCTCCCTGGTACTCAGGAAGTCTCAACCAAAGGGCCATGTCTAGAAGGGCCCGCCCGGCGTGCTTCAAGCATCTGCCCAAACCAGCTGGTGGGTGTCGCTGGGCTGGATATGTCTGGCTGACCAACCACACAGGCCGTGGGTGGGGTGGGGGTGGGGGGTTGTTCATCTGAACTCTGTGTGGGCGGGGGGGGGGGGTAGTCAAGGGTGGGCAGGAGGAGCCCAGGCAGGAGGGTTGTTTGTTTAAAGCTGTGCATCTGCTTACAGCACATACATAGTCAAGAGCTGTTGTGGCCGTGGCAGTGGGGTTTCATGAATCTGTAATCACAGGGATCAAGGGGCCCAGCCTCCATCTCCATCTGCGGTCAGGCCATCCTTGCCTCCGTACTAAGCCTTGACTCTTGGTCTCGGGCCCAGGGGCTTCCTCCAAACTGTCAGCTTTGAGGACACTGCACTGTCCCGCCAGCACACCCCTGTGTTTACATCTTTCTGCGCTATCTGTATATTGAAGTTGACTCGGAGGTGTGTCGGCCTCTGCCCATTTGCTCATTGAAGCCTTTTATCTAAATGGCCCTGAACTGGCCTGGCGTCCAGGTGTCCAAGCGGAGAGGATTGTGATGTCACCAGATGGTCTCGCACGGAACCCTGGAATGAACGCCTCCTGACCTGTCTTTGGCGGTCGGGGTGAACTGGCCCTCTCCCAGGAGGCCTGTCACTCGACTTGCTGTCCCTGACCCATGGGCAGAGGAAACCCTCACTGATATGTTCCCTTTGATGGCATTGGCTCCTAATAAGTGTTTGCAGATGGAGGACTCAGTGGCCGAGAGCACGGGTGTCCCTCCGGGCAAAAGCTGCCTGTGACACCCTCACGGGGTCCCTTTCAGGGAAATGGAGGTGGCCCAAGCCGTTGACCTTTCCAGAGAGGAGAGAATGGAGTTGCAGGACATTGGATTGGCAGCCTGGTGGCCCCACTTGCTTGGAGGCTTGTGGGGTAGAACCGAGGCTAGAGGCGGTCTGTTAGCCATCCTGTGCCGTGGCTCCTGGCCTGGCTGTGGGCGGTGAGGGCGCTGCTGCTCCTGTGATGGCGAGGCGACTCTGGCTACTTTGACCCGGCCTCAGGATCCGGCTGAGGGTCCCACCAGATCTAGCCATTGGTCAAAGGGAAAGGGGGGAGGTGTTGGGTCAAGATTGGGAGATGCTCCTGGTCAGGTGAGAAGCCTCCGCCGGTCCTCAGAGTCCCCGGCATGTTTAGCAGGCACGTGCCAAGGTCTTAGTCGTGTGCAGGCGACATGGAACTCAGTTCGTTCTTGTCCCTGCCTTCGAGGGGCCTGAGGCCAGACCGAGGCTCACGTGCTCTCCTTCTCCCCCGCCGCCTGTTTGGTCTCCTGCTGCGAACCTTGACCTCAGTACTTCTGAGCAGCTCGGCTAAGACCTGGTCCCCAGAGCTGGGGTTAGGTGGGCCTAGGCAGACAGACGGCTCCCCCTACGGCTGCCCTGGGGGAATGTAGGGGCGGTACAACCCCCTCCCCGCGGCTGACCGCTGGGCTTGCTGTCCCCACCCCTGCCTCTGTGTCTCCCTCAGTCCCCATCAGTCAGGAAGTCAACTGCCCAGGCTTGGCAAACAGGAACTGCGATTTGGGGGCCCTTGGAATGGACCGCCAGACAGAAGGGGTAGCCCTGTGCCTACAGAGCCGCCTATGTGCCAGGCATGTCTCCCACCAGCCCTGGAGGTGGATGCTTGTTTCGGAAGCCGGGAGGTCAGATGCCTCTCCCGAGGCCACGGGCTTGCCGGTGGAACTGGGATGCGAACCCAGGTCAGACGGAGCCATGCATCCTGTCGCACCGCTCTATGAGTCATGTGCACAGCCCTCCCTCCCCCCCGCCCTGGGAGGAGCTGGTAGCCTCATGGTGGGGAGCTGGGAAGGCCTGTCTGAGGAGGGCCGTTGGGAGTCAGGCCTTGAAGGCCGCGCAGAAAGAGGCCTGAGTGCAGGAAATGTCCAAGGCACAGCGTAGGCAGGAAAGTCAGAAGAGCCTGAAGGCAGGCTCTGGGCAGGGCGGCGCCCGTGTGGTTACAAAGACCAGCTCTTGCCCTGTGATTGCACCGGCTCAGGTCGAGGAGCAGGCCCTCCCCATGCTTGCCCGGGCTCCGTGGTGACCTCTTTATGGCCCCAGGCCTTGTGTCACCTCCTCCGGCCTGCCTACCACTCAGCCACCAGGCATATGACCCTGCTCATCCCTTCGGCGGGTCTCTGTGGCCAGCCTGTGGGCCGAGGGCAGCAACCCTGGTCCACTGCAGGATAAGAGCATCACTTTCCATGGATGTGGCGATGTGAAAAATGTTGGACCGCCCAGGCTCACGTGGTCAAGTCCAAGCCCCTTAGCCTGGCGTGCGGACCCTCTGTGGTCTGGGGCGGGATGCCAGCCAGTCCCCTCTCCCACGACCACTCACCGGCTCTGAGCCCTCAGCATTCTCCCCTCCTGGCTCTTATCTCTATTTACCTGTAGACCTCCCGTGCCTATGGCAGAGGGGCCAGGGATGTCACCGTGGTCAGAGTTATCCAGCACCCAGGGAAGAGAAGGCCTCCACGTCCCCCAGCCCTTGGAGGACACGGCAAACGTGATGGAGGTTTTTGTAGGAAAACAGAATCAAACGCGCAACCTGCTTGCCTCTAAGGGCCGCAGCCCCGGATCGGTGTGCTTGGTTCCAAAGGATAAACCCTTACATAGAACATGTCTTTTGGGCTCCCTGCTGGAGTCAGGCCACACGCTTTGAGTTAACACTGGATCTTGCACCCCCAAAAGCCATATTCCAGACCTGGATCCATCCCCCACTCAACATGTGGATTCTTCTCTGGGGACTTTCCTAGGTGGAGTGCTT